AATTTTTATCATTTACTTATTATGATTCATTAAGTACTTATACAAAATTTTATTAAAATAAAACCATTTAAACTGGGTGTCTGGATTTACGTACGTATATGTCACGTAGTATATGTCAATGAGAGGAAATGCTGCATTAATTACATCAACATTGATAGCCATGGCATGAAAAGTGTTCTTTACGGCAATCAAGGAACTACCACCTGTAGATAGATGTGTGGAGTTTAGATTTCTGTCACACCTTATAATAGTCGACATTGTCACCACTTGAACGTTTGCACCCTGTATATTTGAGAGGCTGTATTTTTTGATACTGAAAATGACGATTCGCGAAAGTTAGCAATTCGTGCAGATCCTTCGTCCTATCTAAAATAGTCGCTATATCTGGAGGTCGGCAAATTCACGTGGAAGCCCTGACAAAATGCGGATCCGTTAGGTGGCCGGCGAACGTGACATTCGCGCATTGCCCGTCCAACTGCACATAATCTGCATGCGCTAATAAATCTTTCTGCGACTGACAGACGGGCAGACAGACGACCAGGCGTCTCCAGCTATCACTTCCTGCCGCATCGCGACGCGACGTTTTCCAAAACCGGGATGCCACACCAGTTGATATAAATATGCTGCAATTAGTGCCAGCGCTCAGAGAAGTTCACTACGTGATAATATTTGATATACTAAATGACCTACCATAAATTTAGACGTATACAAATTGGGAAACGTACAATTTTGTCTTAAATATACTAAATGTGGATTTCACCAGGATTGTCAAATCTACAGTTCGTTATTCTCCACCTATAGGGTAACAGTCCGTTAAATACAGCGAATGTGCTTCAAGTTCCAATCAACAAATTTTAGCAAACCAATACCTATGAAATGTTGAAAACAGAATAGTCAGAATATGAGATGACAGCTTGTTATTGAATCATAACCATTTTATTGAATATTAAGAAATTACATACAATTTAGTAAACATTTGAAAAAGTGTTTGGTTTTTGAATAAAATTCATGTTTTTACGTATATTTAATTTTGTCCATTGTTTATTCATGTTTATATTATTTTCTTCACTTGATATGCGATTTTACTGATTCAACATCACCTACCGTGTGTTTTTTTTTCCTATAAACCTCTTGCAGATTGCCATTAAGCACCTACTTGATGACAGGCTGTACCAAAAATTTACAATTAGAATCGATACATATAGATACTTTTCGTGGATCTGAACATCCCTACTCTTGACAGCTTGTCATTCTTGTCATCTGGGCTGCAGGGTACGGTGTTGCCTTTACTATCTTACATTTTGCTAAAATCTTAGGACAAATAGAAGCTTCAAATGAAATATTGACGACGCATGATGTTCGTGGACAAACTGAGGCAATTTGGAAGGCAGTTATCAATAAAGTTCTGACTATCTAAAGCTTCATCCCTCACACTTCCCACAACACGTTGCGATACCCCAACTATCAAAGTAGCGTTATAAGCTTTTGGTAAAAGAACCGTTCAGTCATAAAAGCTCTCTATTGTTGTTGCCTGAACACCAAAATGCTGGCTTCATGTTGTGTGGAATGCAAATTTGCTTTCTGCAACATATTTGCTCTAAAGTGAGGTGTTGAAAATATTCTTATAGCATAGTTACACAACACCTTATAGGGCAAATTTTTAACTGTTGCATAAACGTTTATACAACTATTTTATACGGCATATTTGCACGTTAGTCAAAATGGATGTGTTGTGGCCTCCATGGTAACGTTTATAAAACAAACCCGAGCCTTGTTGTTTTGCTGTGCAATTTACTACTTTAGCCAACAAATTGCTCCCAACGGAAGCACTTATACAACTGTTAAAGGCTGTACATATGCTAAGTATGTTGGTATACAACTTCACCATAACCTAACTTTCTGCAGTCATATTTTTGTTAAAATGCCATAACCAATGTTTTAAGACAAACAACGCATGCATATTGATTCAAAATCAACTGTTCAAACAGAAGATATAGATCTAGTACAAATTCTGGGTAAATCATTCGACTCTGTCGGTATTTCATTTCAGACATTTGTCAAATTGTTTTATAACACCTGCAGGCAACACCAAAATATTCTAATAACCTAAAGACAACATGGACGATGCCATGATTATACACAACCACCCGCCATATTGGGCAAACATTTATTCGTCTATTTAATATTAAATAATTATGTTTCAGTTCGAAATTACAGATATAAAGTGACAAACATTAGTGTAATTGCGTCTAAATATAGGATTTGTGGAAGATTTAACGCAGATAAGTTCAGTTGTCCATCTTAAAAATCTAGACATACTTTTGATCATTATCAAAATATGAATCAAATACGAAGCCCGTAGAAATTGCGTAACTAATTTGCACGATAATCACAATAAAATTTGCTGCGCAAGTAATTCAATAGCCCTATATCACAGTGTAGAAGTTTATCATATACCTGTGTATGAAATTCACAATGGCCGATATGTAAGTAAACAAGATGACTGTAATGTGTTAATTATATATTCTTCTTCGTCTATACAATACATAAGAAATAGTTTGGTTGCAATAAAGTAGAATCATGTAACAGAATAGTTGTATAGTTGACAAAAACTGAATCTTGCACTGACGCAAATGTGTTATAGCGGCTGCAAGAGGTTTACACTTTTGTTGTATAACTGTTAGCTGCAGCCCTTATACAACCTCTTAGATGACTGAAGTGTCCTATTAGGTGTGCCCATTCCGCTTGTTTAGCAGTTCTAAGAGGGTTTTGCCAATGTTGTTACAATATACAATGTTGTTTAAGGAATACTGTATAATCATTCTTGCAACTCTAATAGGAGCGATAATTGTTAGTTGGAACACCCCTGTTAGAAATTGTGCACCAGACAAGGATTTGATCTTCAAATTTCGCTTTATGTTTTTATCTGACATTGTCGGGGCATATCTCTACGTTGACCTATAAAATCCGTCGTTTCCCATCATTTTAGAATCACTCAAAGTCAAATACTCTTGCTCATCTAAAATAATGATTTTTCCTTTGGCAAGGTGTTGCCGCGAGAACAGCGAAAGAGTTGCACTTGAGAGTATTTGGGGCACTTAAGTCTCTTCCGTTATCATACTCAGAAGATCTGTGTTGACGAGCCAGTCTCCTTGTTGACATTCCAACCTGATTTTTTGCTCTTTTCACCAATCCCTCTGACCTCTGTGCAGTAAATACACGTGGTCTTCCACCTTTTCGCAGATTCAGACATGGTAATCCCTGCTCGCACCCCGCTATTGTTCTATAAATGGTTCTGCGTGAAATGTTTTCATTCTGGAATATAATAACGTGGAGATACTTTTTCCTATTTCAAATTTATACGACATTTGAAAGCGAAAACTTCAAAATAAATAAATTCCAACTGTCAGTAAAGTAAGTAAACAAACTTTCATTTCCAAAGACAACTTAATATTATTTTGTGTTTGTTAAAATTAAAGCTCTCAGGACTTTAACGGTCACGCCTTAGGAGTTGAATGTCTGTGCACTTTCATAATTTTTTGCACGTATCACAATCAATCCTCCTTCATCTAACTACAAACCATAACGTCTAGGGGTCAAGACTCCAATCAACTCACCCTTTAAACCTACAACATATTGTATATTTATATCATGCCCTATTTTTTCCCGATGTTCTGTCATAACAAATAAATCATAGATAACATAATTTGATTATCATTTTTGTAGCAAAAATTTTGCTATGCGGTTCGAATATTATTTTATCGAAACTCTTTGTACCCTTCTATATATTTATTATTTTTAATCACATAACACTACCAATTCGCTGTATATACATAAAATTTCTCTTTGTTAGAAATCCCATTCATCTTTTATAATACGCTAAAAACAATGCAGCATTCGCATCCTGTTTGGAAAAATTCCTTTGTTCCATTAGCGATGAAAATGTTTTAATAAAGCCTTTATTCAATGATTCAGAACAGACCATCGCGCAATTGGGTATAAAATACAGAGATCGACTTTGAACTTATGAAAAAATGGTTTCGTCAGAAAATTAAAACATTTTTGTTAGTTATTAGTCGGTGTAGTCCAGTTGATCTCCCGCCTTTCGTAGAAAACGTCAATTTTCTAAAATACTCACAATTCTGTTCCAATTTTGACCCACATGTTAAAGTTGATTCTTTTTAATGTAGAGATATGTTTTCTTTGTACATTTGGATAGACCCTTCAGGAAAAAGATTAATATAACATTCTTCACTATTAGTTAGTGTTGAGGTAGGGGAGACCGGGGATGGTTGACCAGTTTTTTACAACATCATACCTATTTTTTGTGCTTTTATAGATATAGACAATAAAACTGCATCAATGGATAGAAGAACTGTTGAACTTATAAAAAATATAAAAACCAGTCCATTATATAATATAATGATCAAAATTTAACGCATTTTACAGAACACCAATTCTTAGTCAATTTGCCCCGGCTCCGGGGTAGATTGACTATATGCCCGGGGTAAGTACACTTACGTATCAATAAGTGACAAATCATGAGAAGAGTTAAATTATGAAACTTTTTTATAATTTAACAAAACTTTTTATTCAAAAACAGTTTTAATCAGTTACAGATATTATCTTACAATTAGTCTTTAACAAAACTATCAACTCCTAGTTTTTATTTAAACATTTATTAGCTCCATTATTTAAACAGTTCCTTTATATCTTATAATATAAGTCTTTAATATCAGAAACGCAATGTTTGCATTCAAAAAAAATTGGATCAACTCTTACACATTTTGAATGAGCCCATAACTTACAAGTTATGCACTGAATCCATTGTTCGCCTGAAACACTATAGACATAGAGTTCAGTGCACTCTAAACAAATCATACTCTCGTCATCTGAATCTACAGTATTATCGTCATTTTCATCGACGGTGTCATCAGCAATCTCATCAACCATATCCGTTCCTTTTCCTTTTCCTTTTCCTTTTCCTTTTCCTTTTCCTATTATGTCGTTTGTATCTGTTTTTTCTTCTTATATGTTTCTCTTTTGTTCCTCATATCTAAAAGATTTAGTTTTTCCGGGCTTCTATTTTCTAAAAGTGGCGCCGCTTTTGGAAAGGGTCTTAGCTCTTCAAATGTTGCTGATAAACTTGAGTAAAGGTTTAGATTGTGTAAAGATGGGGGCACATTTGCTTCTGTAGAATTAACGTTTTCTGGTGTTTTGAGGTTTTCTCTTAGTTCCGGTTCAAATACAGAATTGAATGTTTCGTCAAAAAGAGAAGGTGACTCACATTCAGTCCTCAAAGATCTTGCAAGAAAGGGTATTGTGGTAGTAATCTGGTCTGTATTTACAGATAAACATTGCGGTGCCGGAGAGTGAGTTTCAGTTATTGTATGGTGATCAGGAATTGGAACCTCTTCGACGATAGTTGCATCGGAAGTTGATGGCACAGACACTGTACTCACATCACATGCTGAAGAATTATCACCAACAGGGGAAGTGAGCATCGGCCTACCTGTCACATAAGAACCACTAAACTCGGAGTCAGGAAGAATGTTTTCATTCAATGGTGAAGTCCCGGATACTCCGAATACTGATTGAATATTTTCAATTGTAGCAGCCGCTGGTACTGACGTTTTAATCAGCTCCTGTATTTCATAAATTGTGATAGTCTGTCCCGGGTTTCTAGCCAGCCAGTTGTCACATGCTCGGTTGAAATACATATTCAATGGTCCGTACACAGATCTGTCAAGAGGTTGTAGCTTGTCGCTACAATGTGGAGGGAATGATAAAACTGTCACCCAATTGGTTTTAAAGTGATCCAACGCTTCAATTGATAAGTAAGAGTCATGGTTATCAAACAATTAAAGTACAGGTTTTTCTTTACTAGGTTTAACATGTTTCACCAAATTCTTGGCGACTTCATAAAGTTCTCTTATTTCATCCAGCGTGGCGGATTAGCATCACCTTCACATCCTATAGGGCCACCACTAACACACTGGGACTTTAATGGACGCGTGGGAATACGAAAAATGGTGGAACTATATTTCCTAGCTACTGCAACTGCCACCAGTCGTGCTATTACTCTATTAGGTATTTGCACGGTTGTCATACCTGATTCAACAACGTTCCATACATCACCACGGCTTAAATTCAAACGTTGGTAAACAGCAGTTAAATTAGCGAAGAACATACTGACGTTATGTTTGTTGAAATATGTAGCTCTTAAAAGGCTCGTTGCTTGAATTGTCCTTACGGATAAAGAAGGATGACTTTTGAGAAACGACCGTAGCTAATCTTCGCCAGCTAACAATTTTGTTCTCCAAGAATCAGACATAGCTTTGTTACTTTCGGCCAACTGACATGCTAATTTTCGGGTCTCATAGATAGATAGGTACATTTATTGTCTTGTAGATCATAAAAAATGACATAAGGCTCGTCCTAAGAGGGAGGTACATAGTACACATGATTAAAAATAAAAACGAAACAAACATAAGTATTTACAAAGTGCAAACAGGGACAACTTAAGGCGTACAGACATTCACATATAAAAAAAGTTTAAAAAAATATATCACAGTGCGAGGTATTCAGACAAAGAGTAGAAACATCTTTCAACTAATAATTTTCGTAGTTCAAATTTAAAACTAGCAATATTACTGACATTCCTGAGGTTAGCTGAAAGTTTGTTATATATTCTGATGCAGGTGCATTCCGGTGACTTTTCGAACAGCGTCAGTGTGTGTTTTGGAATACCCAGACTCTCACCTGCCCTTGTATTATAATGTGTGTTGACGTTTTTGTTCTGTATAAATTTTGTTTTGTTTGTATGTGTGAAAAGGGCGCACTTATAAATATGAATGCTTGGTAGAGTCATGATGTTTTTACTTCTGAAGATATCTCTGCAGGATTCTCGACGAGAGCATAATATACATCTAGTAAAGCTGACTCTGAAAAGCAAAACTTGAGCTTAAGAATCGCATAATATGATTGGTTCAAATTTTTACACACACTGTCCATGTGTTGTTGCCATCCATTTCTATTCCCAAGAATGTCGTAGTTTTCGATGTCTCATGATTTGCAAGAATAGGGGCGTTTGTATGAAAATGTACAACATCTGACTTTTCGAGGTTTAAAATCAAACGATTTGCTTGGCACCACCGTTTCATTTCACCTTTTACTCCATTTAGTTTTGCAATAATGTCATTGCGTGTAGTTCCACTTACAAGAACTGACGTATCATCCGCATAATTTGTTACAAATCCAGAGAGATGCAAATCACTTATATATAGAATGAATACAAGGGGTGCTAAAACTGAGCCTTGCGCTGCTCCAATGTCGATACTGTACGTTGCGGATGTAATTCCGTTAACTTTTGTTTTGAATTTCCTGTCAGACAGGAAAGACACTACCCAATCTAATATAAAACCTCTTAAACCTAAATAAAATAATTTTTCCTCGAGAAGTCCAATGTCAATTGTATCGAAAGCTTTCGATAGGTCAAAAGAGATGCCTGCGATACATTTATTCATATCGAGCTGTTTATATATCTGACATACAAACTCATAAGTAGCTGTCTCTATTGAATGAAGTTTCCTAAATCCATGCTGCGAGCTTGGGATAAAGTTGAATTTTTCAGAATATCCCAAAATTCCTGAATAAATCGCTCTTTCGATGATTTTAGAAAAGATTGACAACAATGATATGGGGCGGTAATTATCAACTTGAGTAGGATCTCCCTTTTTTGGAACGGGAACTATTATCGCAAGCTTCAGGGATTTAGGAAATTTGCGTTGATAGACAGACATGTTAAAAAGTAGTGAGAGGGCCTGCAATTTCATTTAAAACACTTTTAATAACACGAGTAGTTACACCGTCACTACCACACGATTGTTTGTTTGGATATGATTAATTTCACTTCTTCATCGGTGACCTCAGTGTAGAACATTGAATGCGCTACTTGAGTTTTAGCTTTTGCTGCTGGTAGTGGGGAGACTCCTTTGAAGTGGTGCTGGAGCTTACTTACTACTGTGCTTGAAAAATGTTTCCCAAAAGCGTCAGGCACATTAATCTGTCCCATATCTCCACCGTTGTCATTTTTAAGTGAAGTTACTCCAGAGTTCCTTTTACGTCCAAGCTCCTGGTTGACTATTTGCCAGATCTTTTTTGTCTCATTATCAGCTGTTTTAATTTCGTTGCAGTTATATTGCTGCTTGGCCATTGAGATCAGTTTGCGATGTTGCTTTTTTCTTTCAATATACGTTTGCTTCAGATTTGTATCTTGCTCGTTCTCTCATATGGTGTCAATCCATAATAAATATCAGCGGCTTTCCTTAAATAACTTGCTAAAGCTTCTTCGTCTTCATCAGTGAAAACTTGCCTATTTTTAATATATCCCACTGAGTGCAAAGTTAATTCTGCTCTCGTCAAGTTTCAATTTCTCCTTTAGTTTCGCCACATAACGATGTAATGTCTTATAGGAAATGTCATATTGTTTTGATGTTACATTAATACTTTTTGTGTCAAAAATTATTAGATGACAAGCTCTTTCTAGGACATCTTTCAGTGTATCAGCTCGTTCAGTCCTTCTTTCATAGGTCATTATTGTATTGTAACAAAAAGAATATAATAAAAGGTTAATTTACGAGATATTTTAAACTTCAAATTATATTCGGGTTGGTTGACTAACTATTCAACCAGCTCCGAAAGAAGATAGTTTACCAACCCCAGACGGCATTTTAAGTTTCAATCGCATCGGTTACCTAAACACTGCCATCAACTTGAGAAATAATACATGAAACATTATCAATATGCACTCACGAAACACTCTGACTAATAGGCACATGGTTAATATAAAATGTGTAAGTGTCAAATGGAAAAATATGGAATATGAAAATATTATTGAATTTTGTGTAAACATTTTTTTTTAATTGTTGAATGATCAGTAGTCAAAAATACAAAATTCACTTTTTATTCCAAAATTAAATGGAACGTCATGCATACTTTACCAACTGCACTTTTACAGGCTTCTTACTGATAAAATGGTCAAAGGTTTTAGAGTATATTTCAAATTGTTAGTGAATGACTAAAGGAAATTGAGAATTCCATAAAAACAAAACGAAGACAAGTAGTTCTGCGGAAACATTTGAAAAACAACGAGCAATCGTGGACATGTTCGCAACAAAGCAACAGGAGCGGAAATATTAGGATTGGTAACCCGAGCGGCATACGTTTGTGCTTCATTAGGCCCAAATTGATGTGCATCGAAAATATCAAAGTGAAAACGTATGCCCATCACATCTAGATGCGGCTGTAGCCTTGAGGAAAGAGAAGGGTAAAAAGGGAAATAATGATAAGTGCTATATTAATCTTCTGAGGAAGAGTTTGTTCAAATCTGCCATGCAGAACATGTCCTTCCGTTTAAAAAATGATATGACCTCCTTTGTAATTGTAGCTTATGAATCTATCGCAGGTACCATAAATGGCAATAGTCTCTCCTTGCATGGACGAACTGAAGAATTGGATCTTGGCGTACAGACCTCAGAGGGTTAAACAAAGACTTTTGCTTCTTTCTTCCAGTTTAATCGCATCCTATGCACTGATGCCTGAACTAATCTACTTGAAGAGGCTTTCCCAGTTCCACCGTGTGACTCGGTCTCGGTACCTACTTCACTTTTGCGTTCATGCACATGCTTGTGTACAGAAAAAATTAAAAAGCTATGTAAGCCCGCCTTAAGGCTTGTTGTCGGAAACCCTACACAATACGGCCGCGGTTGTTTTTCCTTCTTCCGCACGTATGCTCACATTCATACCGAAAATAGAGTAAAACCAAATACTGCTGACCAATAGCGAAGCTATTATTCGAAAGTAATGCTCGGATTCGAAGCAGAATGTTGTTGGAGCGGAAAATAGAGCTTAAGAACTCAACGAATAATTCAGACTAGGAGAAGGAGCGAGTACACGATTTGTTTTGAACCAAAAATACGTAGTCAGAGATCAGGATGCAAGTTTATACTACAATTCGATGGGTTTCAACCCGTGAGTTTGACAATAGGCTTGTGCCCACTTGTGGAACTGCATCAAATGACTTGGAGATAACAGTCAACACTATCATTTGTTGTAAGAACTACATATTATTGTTATTTAGAAAAAATAAAATTAAAAGAAATTAGCATGTAGTCACGTGCCGTACATTTTATTGTCGTTGACATTTTGATAAAGAGAACAGGCTATCATGCTATCATCATTTTTAATTTTTAGCAGTTTTGTCTAATGATATAATAATAATAATGTTTATTGGTCCAATTACAAAGTTTTCGTATAAATAATAACGGCAATGTCCAATAAACATAATATACCCAAAAAAAGTGTACACTTATGCTTGAGATTTAACCGAAGTTGAATTATATTAGTACAACAAATTTTCTTTAAGTATAATAGTATAAATTTGCATCATTTTATGATTAAATAACATATCGGTTTTTAGTGTCAACAAACTTATGGATTTGTAGCCTTGGTTGATTTAGGATCCATGATTTTAATTCAATTTTTAAACGTTTTATACATTTTATATGTTTAAGGTTCGCAGGAATAACATTATAAAATTTTGAGCATAGAAAATAGAATGATCTTTAGCTGATAGTTTTATTAGATTTTTCTGAGGGATAACATTTCTTTTTGTTCAACATAACTTTCAAAATCCACTTCTGCGTAATTTCAATCTTTT